TAGAACGTAAGTGGGTGGCTTGGCAGGTGGACGGAGCGCTGAGGATGGACAGGTTGCTGGATGCACACGGACCTCAGGTGGGCATGTCAGTGGGTAAGGCTGTACCCCAGAGGAGCTCCCCAACAAAAAGTCTTCAGGGTGCATCCAGTGACGGGGACAGTTGCGTGCACAGAGGGACGGGTGGCCATGGCATCGTGGTCCTGCAGGATGATGGGCAGAGCTGGCAGCTGCTGTGGTGCCCAGGGCTGGTCTCCTGAGATGCCCCAGTGGGGCTCATGGTTGTGGCCCAAGCTCCACTGGGACAGCGCCTGTCCTGGACAGCCCCGTCGGGAGGGCGAGTGGGAGATCCGGGCATTAGACGCACACGCCTGCATGTTGGGGGCTTGCACGGCCTGGTCAGGTCCCAGGGATCTGCTCACATGCAGGCCCTGTGTGGCTCGGCACACGGCACGGTGCGTGTCGCACGACGCGGGTCGTGACGTGGAGCCTGTAGGAGGTGTGGTCCAGCGTCCGTCCCATCTGGTTCATGTGTCGCTCAGGTTGTTCCTTTCTGTTTTGTTTACAGCTCTGAGACGGGGTCTCACTGTGTCGCCCTGGCTGGCCTCGAACTTTTGGACATCCTCCTGCCTCAGCCTCCCACATGCTGTTTCTCCAGGCTGGGATGGCGTGGACGTGGTCATCGATCGCCTGGCCTTTGGGGGTGGACACCCAGGAAAGTGGCCCTTGTTTTATGACCTTATATCACAGCATGCTGCAGATGGAAGACTGTAATTGTGCAGGTTTTTGTCTTTTTCTTTTTTTTGCCCTGAGACAAAAATGTGCTTTTTGTTTAATCACGGTCATAATTCTCGGCTGGCATCTGCTTCGGTGGGAAGAAAGTTGTATCAGAAAAACAAAAAAGAAAGAGAAGAAACCCTCTTCACAGACTTTTATGTCCCTGTGTGATCCAGCATCTCTCAGTGGGGTTTGTGGAACATGTTCCTCATGTTTCCTTTACATTTTTAAAATTAATTAAGTATTTTGAGCCAGGGTCTCGCTACGGAGCCCAGGCTGGCATTGAACTCATCGCAGTGTTCCTGCCTCAGCCTCCCAAGAGCTGGGGTGATGGGTGTGTGTCACTGCACCCATTGCTTTTGAAGCGTTTGAGAAGATGCGTCTTTTGAGAAGATGTGTGTTTCTAAAGCTTTGTGTAAAGTGTTTCTAAATTAGCTAGAGAAAGCCTCTGTTACAATATTTCAAATAAAATGCAGTTCATTTCCTTCCTACACGTTTTAATTTTACTCAGTTACAGAGTTCCTTTTCCTAGGCAACCTCCAGGGGCGTGGCCAGGCATGCCTGTCACCCGAGCACTGGGGAGGCTGAGGCAGGAGGATCTGAAGTTCGAGACCATCCTGGGGAACTGAGTGACTTAGCAAGACCCTATCTCAAAATAGGAACTAGAAGGGGCCTGCGGTGTGAAGGTCACACGTTCCATCCTCAGTTTTGCAAGAAAAAACAAAAGAAAAGAAATGGCAACCCTGACGTGTGGGCAGCTGGGCAGGGTCTTGGTGCTGCTCACTTTGGGGACCCCGCTGCGTGAGTCCCCAAGCCGTGGTCAGTATGGAGCCCAGGCTGCCCTTGAACTCCCGGTAATCCTCCCGCCTCAGCCTCCTGAGTGCTGGGCTAACAGGCATGCGCCACCACACCGGGCTTATTTTTGTTTTTTTTTTTCTGTCTTTTTTTGAGACAGGGTCTCACTCTGCAGGTCAGGCTGGCCTTGAGCTCACTTTGTAGCCCAGGCGGGCCTCGAACTCGCAACGATCCTCCTGCCTCAGCCTCCCGAGTGCTGGGAGGACAGGCGTGTGCCACCATGCCCTGCTGTTTTTTTTTTTTTTTTTTAAATTTTGGTTTTTCGATGCTTTTTCTTCCTCTTTGGAGATGATGGTGCCGCTTTGTCTTTTACTTGGTTAATGCAGTCGGCAGCGCTGATGGATCTTGGGAGGAAGCGCTTTATTGCGGTGTAATTCAGCAGCGCAGCGTTCTCCAGCGCGAAATGCAGCTCCAGCGGTTTTTTTATTTATGCTCAGAGCTGAGCCCGCACCACCCGGTCGATTCAGAGTGTGTTCCTCCCCCAGAGGGGAGGGGACTCCTGTTCCTCGGTGTCGCCCTAAGCCTGTCTCCCTGTTCCCCCGACCCCTGGAGGCCACCGACCCGGACCTGTCCCTCCGCTGCGTTTTTTTTGGTCTTTTTGAGACAGGGTCTCGCTGTGCAGCTCAGGCTGGCCTTGAGCTCACTTTGTAGCACAGGCTGGCCTCGAACTCGCAATGATCCTCCTGCCTCAGCCTCCCCAGTGCTGTGATTACAGGTGCGCGCCACCACGCCCGGCTTGTCACCGCTGCTCTTAAGCACTGTTTTTCTAGTTTATACAAAATACTTTTCTAGCCAGGCGTGGTGGCGCATACCTGTCAGCTGGGCACTCGGGGAGGCTGAGGCAGGACGGTCTCTGAAAGTTTGAGACCAACCTGGGCTGCGTAATGAGACCCTGCCTGGAAATAACAACGGAACAGCTTTCCTAGTTTTACAAAACAGTTTTCTATTTTAAAAGTGCTTTTATATTTTAAGAATTCTATTTCTGTGGTCATAGTAACACTCACAGGGCGTGGGCCTTGCGTTTGCCGCTGTCCTGTCATCTGGCTCAGAGGTGTGAGAAACTCCACTTTCTCCTGCACGCCGGGCCCCAGAACCTGTCCCGTCCTGCATAGCAGAAGGCAAATCCCGCTCCCCCAAACTTTAGTCCTTAAAAAAAAAAATTGCAGCCCTCAAGATGGAACCTAGGGCCTGCTCGCCTGAGCCTCGGCCCCAGCCCTTTCTATTTTTTATTTTGAGATGAGGTCTTGCTAAATCGCTGAGGCTGAGCTGGAACTTGAGATCCTCCTGCCTCAGCCTCCCAGAGTGCTGGGATTATCAGCAAGCACCCCACACCTGGCATGCATTTACTTATTTATCTCTATTAAGAATTGAACACAGGGCCTTCACACTGACCTACATCTCCAGTTCTGTTTTTTTTTAATGTATATTGAGATGGGGCTCTCACTATGTCACTCAGTTGCACACGCTGAGCTTAAACTTAAGCTCCTCCTGCCTCAGCCTCCCAAGTGCTAGGAATCACAGACATGCACTCTCACAGCTCCATTCTTTTTCCTGGCTGTGTAGTATTCCACAGCATGCACAGACCATGTTCTATTGCCACCCTAGTGCCTGGATGGACCTGGGCCATTCCCCTCCTCGGCTGCTGGTTGGGGGTTTGGATCCGGATCCTGTCAGAGCCCGGCTCCCAGCTCTCTTCCGTCCCCAGGTTGAGCCATGTTCCTGGCTGCACAGCTGCCGGGGCCATGGTGGCTGGGCCCCTGCTGGGTGCGTAGGAGGTTTCCCAAGGGTCCCACAGCTTGGGGAGGGGCGACGGTCAGGGCCAGGGTCAGGGTCAGGGTCAGGGTCCGGGTCAGGGTCAGCGTTGGCCTTTTCCATGCAGGAAGGAACTGGCTGTGGTCAGCAAGGGTCGCACGCGGCCCCGTTCCGACTCAGGATCAGCCGCTGTCCGGTCGGCTTCCAGAGGGACCCCGGAGGGGGGACAGCTGGCGCGGGCGGGCACAGCTGTGGATTCCGCTCTATCCCGGGCCTGGCCGGGCTCCAGCACAAATTCCGCGGCGCTGGAGGTGGTGGCTATGAATAGGGCTGTGCCAGTCCCGGCTCCGGGGC